GGAGGAGGCGGTGGTGGTAGCGGAGGAGGTGGTGGTGGAGGCGGAGGTGGAGGAGGAGGGGGCAATTGTTGGGGATGGGGATGTTGGGAGTATCCTCCAAAAGGCAACTAATCTTTGCATGCATGATCTAACTTTTCATCACTTCTTTCTTTTAACCTAAAGCTTCAAAAGGCATTTAAAAAGTATTGCTTGGTTGTGTGAAACTCATTTCAATTACTTGTAATAAATTCTGTAACAGAAGAGTCTTAGAACTCAAAGAGTTGATTTAATGTTGTGGAATTGATTTCATGAATTAATGGAATTATAGTCCACTTTTTGTGTTTAGTAGTAGGTGATGGTGATTATCAATAAAATTAGCTTTGTACTTGCTTTTTATGGGCTGATTGCTTCTTCTATAAGACTATGGCCCGTACTTGAATTCAGCTCGACACATTGAAGAGAAAGCCTCTTTGAACAAATTTATATAGTATAAATTATAGGAACCACATATTATAAGTACTAAATAACATCCTATCCCTTCTAGTTTTCTATTTACCAAAAATCTCTTAAAAATAATGTTTGCGGGATACATAGCATTGTGCACGGGATACATTAGGTTTGATACATTCCACATAGCAAGATACATAGCATTGTGCACGGAATACATTAGGTTTGATACATTTCACATAGCGGGATATATAGCGTTGTGCACGGGATACATAGCGTTGTGCACGGGATACATAGCGTTTGATACATTCCATATAGCGGGATACATAGTATTGTGCACGGGATACATGCGGGATACATAGGTAAATAAGAGATTTTTGAAAATTTTAAAATAAGTAGAGATAAATGGATATTAAGGTAAGTAAAGGAGTGTAGTTAAGTAATTTGTCCATTTATATATCTCAATATATAAGCAACATTAGAGCAAATATAAATGACATATCGATCAATTAGTACTAGAAATAAAAGCTAAGCCCAATTGTAAACTAGACCAAAATAACCCAGATCTCAGGCCCATATCGTTAGGAAGCAGATAAAAATATAGTAATGAATTTGTCTTGGACTTGGTGATGTTAGCTAATTGATGAACTTGAAAGAATATTCTCTGCCAAAATGATTGTTCGGAGTACAAAAGAATTGCCCCTACTCGAAAAGTTTGGCCTACTAAACACCTTTTTAAATAAGAAAAATAAACTCCTGTTGGGTGCATACCATTTAGTAGGAAGAAATAATTTTTCGAATTCACAAGTTAAGCTAAAGTTTCCGTACACATCCTCCTCCCTAACTTCACTTGTATAAAAGAGGTGGGATTTTGATGGTTAGGGCCTTAGGTAGGACAAGAGACGGTGAAATTGGAATGGCACTTACAAAAATTTCATTTTCTCTTTTCGATTAGGCAATTTTTTAAAAAAAATTAATCAATCAAATATAAAATAAAATATATCGAAACACACCATATGTTGTAGACAGGTTAACAAAAAGGCTAAAAAAAAAAGTGGATGCTCATGTCTTGGAAGAGAGTGATTGTGGGTCAATAAGTTTTGCAGAGTAGTGATTGTGATTCCTTCCTTTGTCCAGAATATGGCAGTCTTTAAAGTTTACGGATAGGAAAGGACGCATCTTTTCCTCAATTTGTTTCCCAACAATTAGTAGCTTTACGTAACCACACATCTTCGGAGGTTGGTTTGCATTTTTTTCGATATTTTGGTATTAAAAAAAGTTGATTATGCTTTTTAAAAAATACTTATATTTGTTAATGAGGTCATGTTTTTTCAACCTTTTTAGTAGTAATTTAATGTTTTTCGAGCTAGTTACGATTTGGGTCGGCCGGTTGGGTAAAATCGGATGAGTGGTTTTTTTTTTAATTGGGGTCAAGTTTAAAATTGGAGCAATGATAAAATACCACGAAGAATTTTTTCAAAAATAAATCAATTCAGTGTAGTGTTGATCATTAGTCATCAAAAGATATAAGTGAGCAAAAATCTAGGATCTAAATATTTTTAGCAAAATAGATAAATAAGGAATATATTTAGATCTTGTGTGATAATTCAAAAATATTTTTGGCTCTTTTCTGATGTATTTTCGTGAGTCAAACCATTTAAGTTTGATCGAGAATTTATGCATGGAATCTTCAAGTTTTTTGAAATGAAATTTATATGTTTGTAAAGTACGTAAAAAGTATTATAAGTCACAATAATTGATAATTCAAAATCTTTAAAAGATCTATGAAAAAGTGTCACATAAAATGAAAGGAAGGAGTAACAATTATCTAATTAAGCAATAGGTTAATTTGTAAAACAAAGAGGCAGTTACTAGCTAGATTCCACCCAAATATTAACCCAACCAATTGGATCAACAAATATCAAAGATTAGTCCCAAAATCAAAACTTGGCAACAAAAATCTTTTCTTTTTAATCCCCAGTCCAATTTAGTCTTGAAATGATTGAGCCATTTGCAACAGGTAGTGAAGTAAAGACGTTTTAATTAAACCAAGACAGAACAAAATGGAAAGTGTAGTAGACTATTCTTCAAACTTTTTTTTTTCTCCATCCAATTTACGGAAACCATATTAAAGCCTCAATTAAATCTGAAATACATCAAAATTTTCTTTACATTCGGGATTCGAACCTGAAATCTCTAATTAAAGATAAAACAGTCTCATCACACTTATTAATTGATTAAACCCAACAAAGAGTCAAGCATTCGTAAGCACAGGAAAATTATAAATATTCAAAAATAGTATGTACGAAATGTTTCGAAAGTTGAATATTAGAAGTTGAAATGCACGTAGTATGGCATCTAGTGGTTTTTGAATTTGTCATGTCAATATCATTGCGATAACAACAATGTGGAAAATAAACTATAATTATCATTCTTTTGAACTTATATTAATTTCTAAATTGAAGATGATGAAATTTGTACCGCCAAATAGCTAAGCGCCAGGGAATAGGGATGATACTATTACCATTTACCAAAAATATTTAATTTAAGGCGTAAGCGCAGAGGGCGTCACGAATAGTAAACAGCAATTTTTAAGCACTAGTAGCATTGTGTTTTATTTATTTATTTTATAAAAAACACCCAAGAGGTGGTTACTTTTTTATTAATTTAACTTATTTTTGTTATTAAGGATTCAAAATAAGCAGTTGGAAGTATTTTTAAAAAATATCTTATAAAAGTGCTTTAAAAGCTATTTTGATTTTCACCAACTAAGTAAATCAAAATATGCTCTATGCTTTGGGAGGCCAAAATTGTTATTTTAATATAAATAATGTGTTTGACTAAGTTTTTGAAAGAAAATAAGTATTTATCCACAAATACTTTTTTTTTAAAACGCTTTTGATTAATTTTTTTTTTATCAAAAACACTAATTACTACGGTAAACTGTAAAGTATTTTTAAAATTGATTAGTCGAACACAATAACTTTTTTTTATAAGGAAAAATTATTTTTTTAAATAAATCAATTTTAATAGTTTGACCAAAAAAGTTATAAATCGCAAATAAATTGGAGTTGGCTGATTGATTTTTTTAATTAACAAACTGCAAAACTAAAGAAATGAAATATGGAATGGGATTAGACCAAACAATTAAGAAAAAAATATAGTAACTTGGAGAGAAAAAGGACACACTTCAATTTACACTTCATCTAAAACACCAACTAAAATTTGAACTATATATATATCTTCTTCTTTTTCTTCTTGGAACAAGTTTTTGAAAAACCAAAACACCAATATTTAGTTAGTTAATTAATTATTAATCCTCTCAAGGTGTCATTTACATTTGCTTGTGGATAAAGAAGTCATAATAGATTTAGACCGTTTGGAGAAGTAGTTGGGATGGTTGGGACAGAGTCATTGCAAGCATTTTCCACTCAATTACCCTAATAATTCCGTGGGTAAGCAAAATGATAAAGTTTTACCATAATTGCTTATTTTATGTTGATTAATTATTGCTAAGTTTAAAGAAAAAAATTGGTACTGATTTTCTTTAGTCCTGCATTCCATTTTTCTAAATGGAAATTAGTCGCATAGTTAAACACTTTGATCGTGCTATATATATATATATATATGTCTGAAAAACAATTTTAGATACTACTTCCTCTGTCTCAAATTATTTCTTTTGATATTTGAATATAGTTATATTAACTTATTTATCGTTTTTGAAGTTAAGACAAATTCAGTTATTTTCCATTTTAATTGCCTTAGGTACTCCCTCCGTACCATATATATAGTTGTCCACCCTACTATAAATAATTGTCACTAACATTATTTGTCAAATTTACAAAATCAAAATATATAATTACTTATTATTTTTCTCATTTACCCTTACAATTAATTAATTTGTTTTTGAAAGTATAAACATGCAAGTTTGTAAAGTTAAAAAAGTTTCTTTAGGACAAACTAGTAAAACTATCCTTTTAAGGACGTGTAAAGGAGAAAGTGAACAACTAATAGTAATATGTGACATAAGTAGTGATTAATATGATTACTCAAATAACAAAGAAGGGTAAAATAGTGAAAATGCCCTCGTTATTAATATATTTTAAAGAACATATAAAATCAATGAGGACAAATAATTTGAGTACTATTTTAGCCTACCCTTCTTGAGCTTATAAATTTAATGGAAACACCTACATACTTTACTTTAGAGAACATGTCTGAACATTTTCTGTCGCACTTATCATCACATCCACTAATTACTTTGGATATTACCTAATCAATCATTGATTAGAACAATATTTAAATACACTAATGACATAGATATTGTGAAAGTCAGAGCAAAACACTGTGACAAATGGCATGCGTTCTTTAATCAATTGTGGATTGTGCATTCAATTAATCTCAATCATCAATCAAATTAGCATCCTAAATCCATTCTATGTAACTAATTATTAATTTTAGGGGTCGTTTGGTACAAAAATGAATAATGCAGGGATTACTAATGTTGGAATTAGTAATGCAGGGATTAATAGTGCATGCATTAGTAATGCAGGATTTATTTTTACCAAGTGTTTGGTTCATTGGTTCCAACCCCATTTTGGAATTGGGTTAAAACTTTATAAAAAACTCCTTTCCAATTATACCCTTGAATTATTATGTAAATAATTGCCGGACAATATTATTTT